GGGCATCCGCCAGAGTGAAAGGGACCAGAGAGAGCGCGGGGTTGAATGGGGAGAACACACCTGGGCAGGTTGAGTGGGCAGCTCAGCCGAGAGCAGAGGGCTGCGTCTCTGTTTAAATCCCCACCCAGGTCTGTAAGGGAGTCTCCTCCCCCCTCCCCCCTCTCCTATAGGACAAAGGGTCGGTGGAGAGTAAATCAGCAAATTCCTCCCCAGGCCTGGGGGGCCCTGGCGCCCTAGGGTGCTGTGAGGGTTTTACTGCCCCATGTTAGCAGGTAACCCACAGGTCACAGGAGAGAGCAGGCTCCTGGGGGGGGGGGGGGGGTCTGGGACCAGCTGGGAGGGCATCAGGGCCTGGGCAGGACTTTGAATGCACAACCCTGGGCTTCTGTGGACGTGCCGGGGTCTCCAGGCCCCTCGCACACACAGGCTCACTTCTAGCTTCCTGCCTAACTAGAGGGGTAAGCCGGAAGCCCAGGTCCGTGGAGGGCCTGGGTAACATGGGGTGATTGACAGGCGCTGGTCCTGGGTCAGTCCCTCCAGGCTCTGTCCCTCCAGGCCTTCTGATCTCAGCAAGCCATCTCGGGGCCCTGCCCCCACTACCTGGATTACAGGGGTCACGTGTGTGCATGCGCAGCTCGCTGGCCCTGCATCACCTCCCCTGGAGCCCCCCCGGCCTCCGGGCGCTCCAAGCACCGCTTGCCCCGGGGTCAGGCGCCCACCCAGTGGCCCAGCCTGCCCCTCTGCAGGCCTCTGAATCACCGTCCCCAGCCTGTTCTGGGAACTCACCCACCCCTGCCCCGTCGGGGGTGTGCGGCGAGGGCTCCCCTGGGAGCAGCCGGCACAGTGCTGGCCTTTGGGTCCCACGTCCTCTGCCAGGGAAAACAGGAGGTGCTGAGCAAGCAGAGAAGGCCTGGAGAGAGTTGCCCACGGAGGGCCCCACCACCCAGGCTCTGGGCAGCTGAAGAGGTGCTCTGTGGGCCAGGCTGCTGCCCGTCCTCCTCCTGGTGGGACTGGGACACAGCCAGGGCCAGGATGAGGCTGGTCGGGGAGTGGGAAGCTTGTGGCTCTGTGGGCCAGAGCGCTCAGTGGCTCCCAGGGTCCAGCGCGCACTGCTCTGGGCAGCCCTCGGCTCCCCTAGTCACCCCTGTACCCCCACTTCTGGCTCCCTTCCTGCCCATGGTGGGGGGTGTCTAGGGAGGGAGAGGGACAGGAGTTGTCAGAGGAGCAGACCGCAGAGGCCTGGGGAAGGGCAGAGAGAGTGAGATGCGGCCACGCACGTGGTCCTGTGCTGCTCCCAGTCAAGGAGCCCACTGCAGAGGGCTGCGGGGAAGATGGCTGCCTGCAGGGGCCCCAGAGAGTGGGTGGAAGGAGCGTGGGTCTGGCTTGGATTTCTCCACCACCCACACGCACACCCTGACCCCTGACCCCTGCCCCCGCGGAGGTGCAGCCGCGGAGACGGGGCAGGCTGAGCTGTCTGCATGAACCTGCGTCAGCCCCCTGTCCCGCACCAGCAGGTGCGCAGGGACGGAGGTCTGGGGTCCATGGCTGAGAAGGAAGTCCAGGAAGCCTGGCCTTGGTCAGCAGGAGGCCCCTGGGGTCCCAGGCACTGCCCTCCTGGAGTTCTGGGTCCCCCTCCAGGAGCCAGAGGAAAAGGGGCCCCGCTTTGCTCTTCCTGCGGGGGGCACAGGATGCGGCCCCAGTACGTCAGCCTTTGGGGCCCACAAGGCAGGGCTTCCAGAGCAGGGTGGGGGGCTCCCCCAGACAGCGTCTAGCGGGGGGGGCTCCCCCAGACAGCGTCTAGCCAGCTCACGCCTGGCAGAGCCATCTCATGGCTCCCAACATCTTAAAACCACATGTGATTTTCCACAGACCGGGGTGCAGGCCGGCGGCAGAGGGAGCGGGGGCCGTGGCAAATTCCTTCCGCTGGCTGCCGGGCAGGCCGCGGGCCCAGCTGTGGGGAGCCACACTGGGGTGGGGTTCCCCACAGCCAGGCGGGGGCCGGCTTCCAGCGCCGATGAGTAATTCTGCAGCCCCAGGAGCCGGGATGCGGGAAGAGAGCATGTGACCGCTGAGCTCTGGCCCCGTGTGCAGTCACGGGGGTCCGGTGGAAAGCAAGGCTGGCCCTGCCCCGTGCCCCCATCAGGATCAGCGCCAGAGCTGTGGTGGCTGGAAAGCGCAGGTGGCTGGGTTATGTTCCTGTGGGGAGCCCCCAGGCCGGCGAGTTTCACCTGCGTGTCAGAGTGCCCCGGGACTGCAGCATGAGCAAGACGCGCGGGCCCTGCAGCCCCGGAATCTCGGCTTCTCCCCGCTGCCCAGGCGGCTGATGGCGGCAGTTCCGGGCCTCGTACACGAGGGGCAAGAGTTCGCTGAGCTACATCTGGGCGGTTGCGCCTGAAGAGCAGCCAGTTTTTCATCCAGAGAAACTGCTTTGGGAGCTCACGGGGCTCCATTTCCAGCATAAAAGGAAGCTTAGAGAGAGCGACAGACAGCAGAGGCGGCCCGCACGCATGCCAGCGCCGGTCACACACACACAGACGCCGGGACGTGTTGGGTGGGGAGATGCCCACGTCCCACGTCAGAGCACCGGAGATCCTGGGGTCCGCAGCTGCCTGCTGAGGCGGCTCCGGGGGCGGCAGGTGCTGGCCCCGAGCCGAGAGCCCTGCATTGAGTTCCTAGCGCCTGGCTGTGGCTCTCGCCCCTGCCCAGCTCTGCCCAGGGGTAGCCTTTGGGGAGGAAACCAGCAGAGGGGAGCCCTCTCTCACTGTCTGTCTCCTAAAAGGTAAATGCATGAGCAAACTGTATGTGCCTTTTTCAACATCACGTTTCCAACGCTCACAGCCTGCTGGTGTAGGCTGTGGGCTCTCGCAGTCCGAGTGCCGCGGGGAAGGGAATTTCAGACTGCTCGGGGCACCCCCGCGGTCTCGGTGGCTGCACATTACCAAAGCCGCTCAAGTCACCCAAGGTAGCAACCTTCAGAGGTGAGCAGTCCAGAGCTGGCACGACAGCCTAGCCATCACCGGAGATTCTGCCCTCTTCCATTTTGCAGCTTTCTCGGCCTCAACCCTTGGTTTCTATCTGGTAGTGCAAAATAGCTGCTTGAAGTCCAGCCATCATTGCGTCATCCCAGGCAATAGAAAGGAAGAAAGGGAACCATGGAGGAGCACAGTCCCTTTCTTTAAGAACACTTGGAGATATTCACACAAAGCTCCCTGTTGAGTCCAGGGCCCCGGCCACGCCCAGTCACCAAGGGAAGCGGGACGTGGCCTGTGCCTGCAGAGTCGGGCGTTCCTGTCACTGCAGACGAGGCAGGGCTCCTGAGAGTCCACACTGCGGACGGCACAGGCTGCGAGCCTTCAGCGTGAGAGCCCAGGACAGCACGGGTCAGACCAATCTCGCGGTGCAGCGGGTGAGGCTGCCGCCTGCGCCGCCGGCATCCGTGTGGGCACAGTTCAAGTCCCAGCTGCTCCACTGCCAGCCCAGCTCCCTGCTCCTGCCGGGGAAGCAGCGGAGGACGCCCAAGTGCTCGGGCCCTGCACCCACGAGGGAGCCCGGGGTGGGTGGAGCTCCTGGCTCCTGGCTGCAGCCTGGCCCTGCCCCTGCTGTTGCAGCCATTTGGGGGTGACCAGAGGGTAGAAGATCTCTCTGTCCCCCTCTCTCTCCTCTCGCCTGTCTCGTCTCTCTCTGTGACTCTGCCTTCCGAATAAATAAGAGAAATTGTGTGTGTGTGTGTGTATATATGTGTGTATGTATGTATGTATGTGCACACGTGTGTTTACATGTGTTTATGTGTATATGTACGTTTGTGTGTATATATGTATGTGTGTATATGTATGTGCGTATGTGTGTGTATGTGTGTATATGTATTGCGTGTGTGTTTATATGTGTCTGTGTGCGTGCGTGTGTATGTATGTGTGTGCACGTATGTGTGTGTGAATGTATGTGTGTGCGTGTTTGCGTGTCTATGTGTGTATGTATGTGCGTATGTATGTATGTGCATGTGTGTATGTGTGTTCATGTGTATGTGTGTGCACGTGTGTATGTGTGTGTATGTGTGTGTATTGTGTATGTGTGTATGTGTGCGCGTGTGTTTGAAGAGAACCAGTTTTGGCAGCCGTGGTGTGTGCCGGTCCGCGAGCCGGGTGTTTGCATTCCCGCCCGTTTGTCTGCAGACCCAGCCA